TAGTACACGATGTAACTACAGAAGAGTCAAGTTTTAAATAGGAAAAATATAGAAACTCTTTGGTCATTTTTGAGCGAGATGCTAACGGTCTAATCAGATTCAATGATCTATGCTAAGCTACAGCTAAAAGTGCTACCGCCAGACCCGGAGATCGGTTGAATGGATTCGAAAACGGTAAAACTCAACTGTTTAACTCTAGGGGAGTTGGAAAACTATTTTCAAAAAAAGTGGAGTGTTCCTTTAAAGACAACTGAAAAACAGGGTTCCTACACATTTTCCATTTCAAAATCCATACTTTTCCAGATTAAAATTTCCAAAACTCTCAGTAGATTTTCAGACCATATTTAACATAGATGGTTCATACAGCATTATTTTTAGTTTCATATTTGGTATATAGTACAGTCATCTGTAAATATTTTTTCTCAAGGTTTTTTTTCATTGATTTTACCGAAGTGACAACATACAGAGCCCCTAAAATAATACATACGTACATGCATACATTACATACATACAGACTTTTGCATGCACACAAGAAACTTTTTCATGCCCTCGAGAAACTATTCACATGCGCACGGGAATTTTTTGCATGCTTACGCATTACAATTTCTAGTTTTACATACTATAACCCATTTCCTTTGTGCATCACTGCCATTTTACTATGAAGAAACTAAAGCATGGATGCACATGAATTAACAGAGATCTATTTGCTCAAAATTTGGCTTTCCTTATGGTAGGACCTCTAATATCAAGGCCCACTGTCCGATTTAACACATCCTCTGTGGCAGCTGAGAAACCATGACACGAAACTGGCTGACGGCACAATACGGCTGAGTGCATTGTCCTATTTGCCTAAGTTCAGTGGTCTACAAAAAAGACTGTATGTGACAGTGTCATATTTCAAGGCCTTAGGTCTGCTTTAACGCATAGCCTACTCTGTGGCAACCAAGAAACCACACTGCGAAACGGGCTGATGGTGCAATAGATGGATCAGTGTGCACTGTCCTATATGCTCAGTTTAATGGTTTCTCATGCACACATGAAAGTCTGTATATTTTTTATTTTTGCAAAGGTCTTTTTAGAGGCTCTGTAATATGGTGCTAATAATATCCTGAGAAGAAACCTACAATATAACCTGTATTTTTGCATAATGCAATAATTTAGCATAATTATTCAATTGAATTTGACAGTCACCAAAGAATCAGTAAACCGCAGCCATGAAAACACTTCTTGCATGATACATTTATTTTAATTTATAGAAAACTAAATAGGGGCAAGAGCCTGGAAATGCAAATATTTTTCCATACTCTGCTTTCTTTTTTTTCTCCATACTTTTCCAAACTGCATAGGAACCCTGTTAAAATACATACATGAGATTATAGTACGAAATCTTTTGATGGATAAAAATATGTTTCTGAAGAAATCTGTTAGAAAAAATATAATTATCAATGGACATGAAATGTACACTATATTATCTGACCCAGTATCAATGATGATGTTATATGAATTATAACTTGTGGGTTTGATTCCACAATCAGCTCAGATGGACCAGAAAAACTACTACTGAACCTTCAGCTTCTGGATTTCTTGTCTTTTATCTGAATATAGTTTATAAAACAGGCCAGAGAAGGCGAAGCAGGATCCCGCACATATGACAGCCAGTGGGTTGAGGAGATGGTCACTCATTTCTGCTCTGGACGAAGAGAGAAACATGTAAAGCTTGTCAGAGAAGTGTAGCTGTAAAGCACAGTAAACATGGTAAACCGTACCTACCAGTCTCAGTAAAATCAATAGCAGTGGGGCTGGCAAAAACTGGTTGATCAATGTAGCAAGCTCTGGTTTTTAAAATATTTTATGCTCATGCAATTAAGTAAAAAGTTAGTTAATTATTATTTTAAAACTAGATCAACTAAGGTCATAAATCCACATCCTATCCACCTAGTTCAGTTTTGTTAAGCAGAATCTAGTTTCATTTCCATTGCATTCCACGTCTTCATGTTTCTGAACAGATATAGTTATATGTATACAACTAAATATCTAAATCACAATGTGTCGTGTTGACAAAATGTCACGAAACTACACATTAGCAAGCGGCGAGTTAAAAGGCCGAATAAATATGAACCTCAGCGTGAAAGCAAAACTTGTCAGAACAAGTTTTATGTACGATAAATCAGGAAACCACAGCTATACAGGCCGTTTACTATGATCACTAGTCTGATTATACAACATTTATATTATGTATTCGATTCACTGCAGCTTTAAGAATAGCATGTGTGTCCTCAGGAGGGCTGTGATGAAGTCAACACAACAAGGGGTAAACTCACTCCACTCGCAATATAAAATAAATCTCTTTTATCCACCTTATTTTTCAACGTGGCCGTTTTCTGTGTACAGGTGCATCTCAATCAATTAGAATGACGTGGAAAAGTTCATTTATTTCAGTAATTCAACTCAAATTGTGAAACTCGTGTATTAAATAAATTCAATGCACACAGACTGAAGTAGTTTTAAAACGCTACCCCCGTGTATATAAACTAGGATAATATGATAATATAATGTAACTGTCTTGGGTGAAGACAGCAGTTTAAAGCAATATTTTATTAAATCAAGTGTATTCACAGAAATATTGCCATATGTGAATGAAGAGATCACTAACATGCCAGCAAAATCTAGGAAACAAAGTGTAAGGAACACAATTATACAGGAAAATACAATTAAGAATGTTGAAACCGCGCTAAACAAATTCAAACAGAAAGAATGAACAAAATCATGGAAACATAAAATTGTTCTGGTTTCATAGTGTAACACAGGGGTGCCCAACCCTGCTCCTGGCAATCGACTGTCCTGCAAAGTTCAGCTCCAACCCTAATCAAACACACCTGAAGCAACTAATTAGGGTCTTCAGGATCACTTAAAAATTAAAGGCAGGTGTCTTTGATTAGAGTTGGAGCTAAACTTTCCAGGACAGTCGATCGCCAGGAGCAGGGTTGGGCACCCCTGAGATAATACATTAAAATAATATGGCAAGACACACAAGTTTGCAATATCAAGCAGCAAAACGAGCTGTTTTGTACAGCTAAAAATAGCTGAGACCGGAAGCCAAGTTAAATTTACAAATGGCTGCACCCACACTTACGGGGAAAAGTTGGTGTGAAAATGATATTGGTGACAAAAATCTGGAATCTGAGGGTGCAAAAAAAAAAAAAATCAAAATATTGAGAAAATCATCTTTAAAATTGTCCAAATGAAGTTCTTAGCAATGCATATTACTAATCAAAAATTAAGTTTTGATATATTTACAGTAGGGCATTTACCAAATATCTTCATGGAACATGATCTTTACTTAATGATTTTTGGCATAAAAGAAAAATCTGTCATTTTGACCCATACAATTTATTTTTGGCTATTGCTACAAATATACCCCAGCGACTTGAGACTGCTTTTGTGCTCCAGGGTCACATTGTGTTAGACAACTTTTAAATTCAAATGGTAATTTATTATCTTATAGTGAATTTTTGGATAAATTTGGTTTTCCAGTTACGCCAAAAGTGTATGCTGTTGTATTTGACGCCATACCTCAACAAGTTGTCCATTTTGTTAGAGCTTGTGGATTCTTCTGAGGCAATGTAGTATGTTAAAGACAGCATGTTTCTAGGAAGCATTGATATTCTTAAAAAGTTGTACTAATAAATATATTAGGAATATTATAACAGGTGATACAGCTGCTTATAAAAGCTTATTGTGGACCAATGTATTTAGAAATATAAATTGCAATAAAGCTTGGCATATTTGTGAAATATACTGTTTAAATAAAGTAAAAGATGTTACATTTAAATTTTCACATGGTATATATCCAGCTAAAAGTGTGTTAGAGAGATTTAATTTGGATATTGATTATTCCAGTGATTTTTGTTCAATGGAAAAGGAGTCTATTGTCCATCTCTTTTGTAATTGTGTATACACAAGGATTTTCTGGGTGGATAAGGAAAGTTTCATTAGAAGGAAACAAATATTACATACAATCTGGTGGTTTCACATCTGGTTCTGTAGCTCATGTTATATGTTATTCTAAGATAATAAAAGCCACTGTGAAAGTGATTAACCCCTTCAGACCCTGCGTCCATTGAAATGGACATCATCAGTTAGTTGGAGTTTATTGGGAGACCAAATATTCACTATAGAGTTCAAATCTGGACTCGGACCAGGCCAAAACATGAGCCTGATGGACTTGTTCTCCAGCCACTTCTTGGTTGTCTTTGCAGCAATGGTCAGCAGTATTTTCTTGGTGAAAAAATAAACAAAATAAAACATCTGATCGTTCCTCTTGAGATAACTTCTCAATTCCGGGAAGCAAGCCATTGTGCAATATTCTCTTATACTCCAAAGCATTAATCCTCCAAGCATTTATGCATTCATTATTGTATTTCTGACCAGATCTTCAAAGACGCTGCTTTGGAGCATCAGCATGCAACATGTGTTTTACGTACTGAACCACTCTGAATCAAACTTCATTGTCTTCGATGTTTTTCTGAGCCAGCATGGCTTTTTAAGGAGCGTTTTTGCTTAATTCTTGCTAATTTCCTTAACAGAAACTTGCGGTTAAGACCATTAAAAGCTTAGTGATTGGCCTTTTTTGCCCAAAAGTATACATCTACAAAACTAGAAATGTACAAAGTATATACAAAGTTTGTAATGTTGAGTTATCGCAGCGTTGAGAGAAACGGGAAATGTGAATGGGTAAAAATACTTTAAATGGGTAAAAATAAGCTGTTATCAGGGACTTGTATATAATGCTGCTAAGGTGTAACAAACTTCAAGGGTCAATTTACACATGTATAAAAAAATGGGTTATTGAGAATCAATAAAGTCAACAAAGTTTTCTAACCTTTTTTTTTTACTGCATGGGAAGCACGGACTAAAAAGCATTTTATTTGCAGACATTATTTATGTACAAACAACTAGGTAACAGAGGGTGTTGTAAAGGAAAGACTAAAGGCGAGAAGTGACAAACCAGAAGCCTGGACTCAAATCTAGAGTCCTCTTCCATTTTATTGTCCCTCCTCCTATGAATACAGAGTACATCGGCCATCACACTTGGAGGTCTCGCTATTTCACATACACAAGAAGCTGGTTCCAACTTTTCTTTCACAGCACACTGTTGTCCCCCCCCCGAATTACACATTTTTTCCAGAAAACGCAAGCAGTAGTGCCATCATAGTAATAATTCAAAATAAAAACACAGCAAAGATCAGAGAAGGAATAAAAATAAACAAATGGTACTGATGCAAATAGACCACGTGCTTAGTAGCTATATTTCAAACGTCACCATAATCTATGTGTCAACAACCTCAGCTAAAGAAAAATCAATAAAACTTTGTGTTAAGAACATGACTTGCTGAAACTTACCATCTAAGCCCAAGAAAATAAACTTATGGCAGATGATGAGTTTTTAAAAACATGTTCTCTCTCACACACACACACACACACACACACAAAAATCACCCACGTTTACAGTTCAGAAAGTGGTCCTAAGGTTTCTAAGAGATGAACGTACAAGGACCAGCCTGGATCTCCATTGAGCCCTGGGTGCTTCAACAAGATGAGGAAATAATCTCTCTGAGGAACAGAGACAACTATGCACACTAATATCACAGGTCCAGCAGAGGACGACAGAAAACACCAAAGCAAGATCAAGACAACGCATTTGCTTCTTGCTACCGGTCAAGAAAAAAAATCAAAAAAACAGGAGGGTAGCTTGACCTTAGAACTTCCTTTCAAAACATTTAAAATGGTCAATATACATTACTCCTGTATATGTGTTAATAGTAAAATCATCCCTACGAGTCTCGTATTCTCACTTGGTGGAGAACAAAAACGAACAAAAACGAAACGTTCTGCTTTTGGTAGAGCCATTGAGAGTGTATTCGATTACACGCACTGAAGCGCAAGTGTTCACAACACACTTTGATTCTATCTCGAAAATGCATACATTCAAGCAGCAATAAAAAAATATTTATGGCGAATGCATAATCTCTGGAAAAAAGGGAAAAAATACTGTATGAACATCCCTGCTATCATGTCTCTAAATACAAAACCTCTACCCATGATTTGCTTCAGTGTAACAAGAAGTCCTTTTTGTGTTTGTCTGCAAGTAAAAGCCAGTTCTCGGTGTATGTATGGATGACAGTCTCGTGTATTTCTCTTTTCTGGTTTCTATGGTCGAACGATCCGTAAGCATGCAAGCGTCGAAGAGGAGGGGCGGGGGCCTGGAGGAAGGGTCGTGGCGGAGCGGAGGCTTAAGCCAGGGCTGGAAAAGCCTCGGGATCATCCACGTTGGGAACGGAAACACCTCCACCCTGTCAAAGTCAAAAGCAACAGACTTCAACACCTACCAAATGAGAGAAATCTGGAAACACTGGATGCTGCTACATATACAAGCATTTCACAAGCATTCAGCATCTTATGTGTGTCACATAAAACTTTCAGAAATCTGTAATGTAAGACCAAACTGTTTTTTTTGTTTGTTTCTGGAAAGTCAATGGGGACCAGCAACTGTTTGGTTTCCCACAGGCTTCAAAATATCTTCATATTCAACAGAACAGAAGAAATTCATACAGGTCTGGAACAACTTTAGGGTGAGTAAATGATGACAGACGTTTCATTTTTGGGTGAACTATTGCTTTAAGTCTGGGTCAATTGCAGCGGGTGATTATCTTTTTCTTTTTTGTTTGATTTGCATTAAGGACAGACAGCAGCTGGTGTATTAGGCTGCTGTCACTCATAATTTAGCACCATGCCATCTATCATGGCTATATTCATGGCAAGAAACAAGTGAAAAATAGAAAAATTAAATAACTAAAATGCCACATAAAAAAAGGTTATTAAAAAAAAACAGTTTATTGGCCAGTAAGAAATATTTTTGGCCTTAATACGTATTAGGCTGCTGTCACTCATAATTTAGCACCATGCCATCTATCATGGCTATATTCATGGCAAGAAACAAGTGAAAAATAGAAAAATTCAATAACTAAAATGCCACATAAAAAAAGGTTATTAAAAAAAAAGTTTCTTGGCCAGTAAGAAATATTTTTGGCCTTAATACATTATTCACAGGTGTTGCAAAGAGTAACTTGTAATCATTCAACGCAAATCATTAAATTTAGAAGTGCAAATAACTATGGAAGTCTGTTTCTGCTACTGGATAAAAAAAGGGAATTGCAACTTTTTATCTCAAAATTCTCACTACTTTTGTCACAATTTTGAGTTTACATTTTGCAATTATTTTTTCTCAAAACTATAAACTCACAATTGCGTGTTATAAGTCAAGTCCAAATATATTTCTATAGCACATTTAAAAGCAACAGAGTTGCGCCAAAGTGTTGTACAACAAAACACAGTATAAAAAGCATAATAGGAAACATGCATTATATGAAAAATAAACACATTAAAATAGAGTCAGACCAAACTGACATCAAAACCTTAAACTGACATTAATCAAATGCCAGGGAAAAGAAGGACTAATTCGTTTAATTGCAAAAAATTATTAGCCATAACAACATTTGATCTCCTCAAAACAGTCATAGAGCACATCCAAAGAATCACTGCTGCCAGTTTTTTTCTGGAAGATAGAACTGTGTATCGTCAGCATAGCAGTGGTATGCAATCTTACCACTTCATGGCAAAATATATTTCTATAGCACATTTAAAAGCAACAGAGTTGCGCCAAAGTGCTGTACAACAAAACACAGTATATAAAAAGCTTAATAGGAAACATGCATTATATGAAAAATAAACTTTAAAATAGAATCAGAGCAAACTGATATCAAAACCTTAAACTGACATTAATCAAATGCCAGAAAAAACAAATAAGATTTGAGAACAGACTTCAAACTGGCTAGTGAAGGAGCAAGTCTCACATACAGGCAAACTATTCCAAAGTTTAGGAGCTGCAGCTGAAAAAGCCCGACCAATAGGGCTGCACGATAAATCGAAATGGAATCGAGATCGCGATTCGACAGAAGCTGCGATTGTCATGCGCATCTTTCAGTGAAGCACGGTTCTGTGATCAGCAGTAAATCTCCATCCAAAGGCCAGAGGGCGCTCTTGCGCTGAAACTCCAAATACGCCTCGCAGAAGAAACCCAGAAAATGCCTATCGCTGCAGCTGAATAAACAGAAGATTCAACTGCTTTCATTGATTCAACGTGACTAATAAACACACGACTACGGCAATATACGGTTTATCTGAGTTCTTATTATTATAATTTTCATTAAAATAAAGTATATTTATAATGCAATGCCTTTATCACTGCTTAAATACTATGAAATATGTTGCGTGCCTTATTCTGTGTAAGAAGCCACATCATCTCACAGAAGGATTTAATTCAAACACTTGACTGACGTTATGAAGTGAGTTTGGAGTAAAAATTTTATTAAATGTGGTATTTTCACATGCTTTCAGATGGAGCAGCATTTACTTCACAGAGCCGTAGTTCACTGAGAAGCTATGCAAACAGCTCTCATTATCACGAACGATTTCTTCGATTTCAGAATCGCTTAATAAAATAGATTTTTTTTTGCATAACTTGTCAGTGAACTACGGCTATGTGTAGTAAATTCTGCTCCATCTGAAAGCACGTGACGATGATTTCCTGTTGATTACAGAACCGGCTTTTTTAACAAAATGCGCATGACAATCGCATTCGATTAATCGTGCAGCCCTACTGACCACCCTTGGTTTTACAGCGACAACGTGGGACAGTTAAGAGAAGCTGATTACTAGACCTAAGTACTCTTTGATGAGAGTAAGGAATCAGAAGGTCACTGATGTATTTTGGTGCAAGACCAGATTAAAGCTTTGTACACAAAGACAGAAATGTGAGGAAACAAAAAGTCAGACCTGCCAGAAAGAAAAGTCTGAATTGTCAAGATATAAACTTGCAATTGCAAGAAAAAAGTCAGAATTGCGAGTTTATATTTCACCATTCTGACTTTATTTCTCATAATTACGAGTTTATCTAAATTCTGAGAAAATAACTAAATAGTAAGAAAAAGGAAAAAAGGAAGAATTGTGAGATAAGTCACAATTACCCTTTTTCTTTTTTAGATGTAGTTTTGGCGTTTTTGCCTTTATTTTGATAGGACAGTGTTCAGACAGGAAGTGAAGTGGGAGAAAGAGAGGGATGGGATCAGGAAATGCCCGGACTCGACCCACAAGGCTACTGGCACTGACATCTTTTTTATTCAGTGGCAGAAACATAAAATATACATTTTAATATATTGACTTTGATATATTTATACTACTTGCTATTAAACTACATTTTTGTACTGCTCTACACCCAACTGACAGATCCAGTCCAGTAACACTCGATGGAAAAGACTGAATTTTACAACAATAAACAGCTGTAGTTCTTTGTTGGGGTATAAGTGAATTGTGTTAATAAAAAAAAAGTAAATATAATGCATAGCAATATCAGTTTCAGTGGAAGACTAGAGTTTTATTTGATGCAAGCGGTATCTGCCACAAATTTCCATACTCAAACATCAGAAGAGCATGTCCGTTTGTCATTTACCTTCTCAGATCTGCCTCGGCTTGGTCGTCCACCGCCGCCACCAACACCACCTCCACCACCTCCACCACCACGACCGCCACGGCCTCCACGAGAACCTCCACGACCACGTCCTGGCCGACCCAAGTCTCCGAAGTTTATCTCCAGCTGGGAGGTGATGTCATTGGCGGGCTTACGGAAGTGGTGATCTCCACCCTCATCAGCCTTTAAGAGGGAATGATACGGGATCAGCTTCAGGAACTAAACAGATCATTCCCATTTCCACATAATGCTTGCTTTCTTAATGGGCTGTGAGGATTACAGCTAGAAAACTATTAGATTTCCTTAATGCGGAAAACATGGCCAAAATCACACAATCTGATAAGAATGGAATTCACAGAACTTGGATGAATAAATCACAAGGCGGCTATCTTCGCAATATTGACTAGAAACTCAAAGGTCTTCATGACAACCAGTCAAACTAAAAGATCGATTCAACTGGAAGAAACTATGACAGAAATACACTACTACTGTAAAGCTTTCATTTCAAAATTCTTTCATGTAGAGCTGTGCAATTAATCGAAATACAAAAAAAATATATTTGATATATCTCGCTAAATTTAAATAAATCACTCATATAAAGTTTTGGTCACGTGGCCCACTCATAATCATGATTACAATAGGGCTGGGCGATATGTCAAAAATCTCTTATCGATAATCGTCTTTAAAAATATATTGCGATATCCGATAATATCGTCTACCTAAGCCCCACCTCCACCACGGAACGCATCTCCAAAATAATCACATACACAGATGCACGTTGCCATTACAGTAGTCAGCGCCGAACAACAGACAAATAAAATATAAACTGAGGTTACAAAAGTGATTCAGTCAAGATCAGTGAGGGATTTTCTTTTCTTTTGTTCTTTGATTAACATTAATGACTGGCGGCAGCGGCTGCTGTCAATGCACGGATCCAATACACCCTTGTTTTCTTTCTCAGCTCTTTACGTTCACTTAAGACATAACCGATTGTATTTATGGGATATTTTGATATAATTCTGTGTGTATTTGTCCATTCGAATGTGTAAGAATATTCAGAAACACATGCAGTGCTACTTTTAGTTTTTTTCTGTTTAACTTTTATTAAACTGCAGCTCAAAATAGAATAGGCCTATACCCTAAATAAGGATAAATTATATTGGAACGCATCTCCAAAATAATCGCATACACAGATGCACGTTGCCATTACAGTAGTGAGCTCTGAACAACAGACAAATAAAATATAAACTGAGGTTACAAAAGTGATTCAGTCAAGATCAGTGAGGGATTTTCTTTTCTTTTGTTCTTTGATTAACATTAATGACTGGCGGCAGCGGCTGCTGTCAATGCACGGATCCAATACACCCTTGTTTTCTTTCTCAGCTCTTTACGTTCACTTAAGACATAACCGATTGTATTTATGGGATATTTTGATATAATTCTGTGTGTATTTGTCCATTCGAATGTGTAAGAATGCGAGAAAGAGAGCTCAGTCCAGTGTTCGCATATTATATGTGAGACAGCTTTGTTTGTGTGTGTGTGTGTGAGCAGCACAGAAAACAGCGCGCGAGTGCAGAAGTGAGTTCTATTTAGTCTTCTTGCAGTTGAATCTTTTGAAATCAAAATAAATGCGCATACAGGAATCGAAACGCAGAATCGAAATGTAATTTTATAACAAGTAATTTGATTCCTGACCTTACGCATCTGATCCGATTTCTGAAATTGGAATAGGTTTTCGATTCCCAACCCTCCTACTAAATTATTTCATTCTTGTATACAAAAAGACCTGCGACTATGGGGCTATGCAAAATATTTTTTGCATCTTACTAGGTTTGTAATTTTTTTTCCCGATAATGTTTATAATCGTCTGTTACCTGATTGTTAACATCGACATCGCGATACTTACGAGACATCATCAATATACGATAATATCGTCCAGCCCTAGATTACAATATTTACCAAAATAATAGTGATTATGATTTTTGCCATAATCGAGTAGCCCTACTTTCATGTTTTAATTTTAAAGGTAAACGTCTGCTTTACAGCACTTTGTTTGCCAAAAAAAACTAAAATAATTGTTCATTTTAATTTAAAATATTAATTAAATTGTTAATGTTTTTTGCCTTTAATGCAAACAGAAAAGTGGGATTTTAAAAATAAATGAAGAGTCAAACCGTCACTGTGTGTACATGGCCAAAGATTCTTGAATTATGGCATGGTCCCAAGTTAAAGGGGTCATATGATACGATTTCAAGTTTTCCTTTCTCTTTGGAGTGTTACAAGCTGATTGTGCATAGATAAGATCCCTGAAGTTGCAAAGACTAAAGTCTCAAAACCAAAGAGATATTCTTTATCAAAGTTAAGACTCTGCCACACCCCCGTAAAACGGCTCGTTCTAACACGCCCCCACATATCTACCTCACTATGTGGAAATATTTGCATAATGCTGCCCAAATGTGCAGAGAGAGAGAGAGAGAGAGAGAGAGACAGGGTCACATCACAGTGGAGTCAGCTCTCTTAACCGTGGCTTGTGTACTGCAAACTAATACCAGCTTCATCACTGTCTGTCACGCCACTCTGTTCCCCTTTCGGGCTCTGTCTTTACATTTATTTTGAAAGCTGAAGCTGGCGATTATGGTAAGGGGCATTACATTTCCGACGAGTGCTTGCGGTGTTTGGCCAATCGCAATGCACTGGGTCAGCTGGCCAATCAGAGCACACTGCGCTTGTCGGAAGGAGGAACTTTGTAGAAAACGAAGTGTTTGAGGCGGGGCATAGAGGACCTACAATAATATACAGTATTCGAAAAATTGTGTTTTTTGAACATTGAAGCATGTCAACATATTCTGTTACACCAAATACACAAAATAATGATCTTTAAAAAAAGCAACATATGACCCCTTTAACTAAATTTTAGTTCAGGTTAACTACAGACCAACAATTGCAAAGGTGACCAAAACGGTGACAGGTAAATAAAAATAAACCAAATCCAGACACAAACCGGGACAAATACCTTGTGGAATGAGTCAGGATCAACATCTCCAGTTTCAATCACAGGTCCAGCTTGCCGCTGGAAATGCACAAAAAAAAAAAAAAGGAAGATTAGTCTCAAAACCATAAAATTACAGATTTTACAAGGCTGGAAAACCGACTAACTTAACTTACCGTGCCAACTTCCTCACTCTTTGACTTGTGCAGTACGTAGCCCTTCTTCCACTGACTGTCGTTACCCTCGTTGGGCTTGCGGATGTTGAACTCAACTTTGGAGCGTTCTTTGTCTTGCATGGCCTTCCACTCATCCAGTGTCATCTCCTTAGGACCTTCATCCTTCACCTCCTCTACTTCATTCTCCCTACACAGACACAACCATCCAATGGCATGCTCTAGTCAAAGAGATACTAGGCTTTTCTGTTATTCTGAACAGAATTCTCATTGACTCACTTGTTTTCGGAGTCGGCAGGGGCATGATCTTCACCTTCAGGAACAGGCTCCGGTGCTGCAGACTGATCAAGCTCACTGTCAAATCAGACAACATTATTATTTTAGAACCAGACCACCATGTCTTTCAATTTTAGGTGTTATTCATGTCCAGAACACAAGCGGTTTGGGACAAGTTACATGTCATAGCTTAATACTTAAGTTAATCCCAAGTATAAATAATATTAATAATGCTTGCCGTATCAAGCACCACTAATTTGAATTAACAAGAGTCCAATATTTTAGACAATCTGCAATATTTCCGTATCACACATTCAGGGTTTCTGCAGGTTTTATGAATGTAATTTGTTTTCTTTTTTTAAACACCTGTTTAAGACGAAGTAAAGAAAACTGAATTAAGGAATAAATTGAAGGGAACACAATACGACAATTTCTTCTATTATCAACACTTCAAAGTTTGAAAACATAGCTTCCAACAGATCTCTTTACTTTAATTTTACAAAAAAAGAAAAAAGAAAAGCCAATGGGCTCAACTTTATTCAAAAGGGATGTTTTCATTCCCCATTGACAGATGTTTATTCTTATTTTAAAAATAAACTTAATATTGTTCAATTTTTCAGAAAACAAAAATTCTTGTCTTCATTTTGCATCTCAAGTAATTAACTTTTAGCAATGCAGGTGACATTTAATTCCATGACTATGAATTAAGACTATGAGCTCTGATTTACGATCTTTTTGAGGCCTTCATTTGTGGAATGGTGAATTAATACTTTCTAAGAAATGCAGAAACCCTGACATCTGTCAAACATGACATGTCAACCTCCCAAATAATCTGACAACACCACAAGCCTTAAATATTTCACATTTACAATCGTACCTGGCTTCTTCCTTCACATTGCCCCAGTTGTGCAAGCCACTCCCACCACGCTTCTCCTCTCCTTTCTGTCGACTAAAGCATGAAGGACATTCCAGTGAGACTAGTGCAACAACACACTTTGAACCATTTATTATTGCTGGCTTCAACACACTTACGATTTGTCATTGCCGCTGTGTCTGTCAAAGTCACGTTTGCCCCGGGAATCGAATCCATCTCCTCGTCCCATGCCTCGTCCACGGCCACCTCTGGCCCCACGGCCTCCTCCACGCCCTCTAGAGGGCTTATCCCCAACTGGCCTGAGGACAACATGAACAAAAGGGCCTTTCGCACCGCAGGAACCCCGGGACGAGCCTCTCCTTGACCTCCCTGGTGCTGGGAACTGGCCTGACCCTGTTGCTCCGGCCTCCGGCCAACCCTCCTCATACCTGAAACAGATATCCAGACACTCGTTAATGGAGTCCAACATTGAAAACCTGTGAATTTTCTTCATACACACTTCATTCAGAGCAAAACTAGAGCTTTAAGACCTGACTGCACTCCGAGGGAGACGACTAATTCGGAGACATTTGCCAAATACTCAGATCCAAATCAGTACAGAGGTCAGAAAACATGCTCAACCGCTATCAAGCTTCAAAAAACATAAAACAAAGTCTCACAAAAACCCACTAAATGCAGTCAAATATGTCTAATTCATGCATATAGTACTTGAGTTGTTGGCTAGGAGCATATACGTGGTCTACAATGTAGTTTTACAACTGTAATATTCTATGAATGTAGTTCACTCGAGTATAATGGGTCATTCCACGAAATCGGTGCCTTTTGCGTCCCTAATAAATAATCAAACATTGAATTAATATAACAACAAATACATTTGTGATTTAAAAACGTAACACTATTATGTAGCCTATTCGTTCAACAATATTAGGCTACATCAAATTAAAGTCAATTAAATATTTTTATGCTGATTAAAGGTAAGGTTTTTGGCCTGTCCCTCACTGTGATTTTTCTTTTTCACCAAGACTTTTAATTTGCAAAATGAAGGCAAAATGATACAAAAATCACATTTGTATATTGAGTACAGCCTCGTTGATAACAACTCAATGACACAATTTTTTGACACCAAACATTGTTTATTGCAGTTTAGTGTTAAAGCAGGCAAGGGAAGGGATAGTGCATTACTTTTCAGCCACCAGATTTCATGTTGCACATTCATCCTGAAATGGTTGACCTGGTACTGCAGGCCTATTCATTGTAAATGGATGCATCTCATTATTTCAGGGCTTTGAGATGTCAGCAAGGCTAATGCAAGCGACACTGAGGAGAATGAAGAACCTCTGCTGAAAACGCAGGTGAGTTTGCAGTAATGGAAGTCGACAGAAGGAGGACATTGGGAGTGTTGTTGACTGACTGCAGCAGGTGCGACTACCAACATGAAACTTGGCCACATAGTTAATCTCACATCCACCAAAAACACATCAGCTCATTCTTTCTCACTCGGAGAGCATGCACTGTAAAATTGCTTAGACCAGTTTTAAAACTTTCTTCTGTAAACTTGACATATAAACCCCCAAAACACACACACACAGCATGCAAAATTGATCGATTGGAGAAAGCAAACATTATATCTCCAGTAACGTAGAGTGAGTGGGCTGCTCCTGTCGTCCCTGTGATTAAAAAGGTCACTGTTAATCAAGCTGCCAACACTGAAGTGTATCCTTTAGCACGAACTGAAGAAGTCTTAGCCACTCTAAGTGGAGGGAAGGTGTTCTCTAAGATCAGTTTAGCTCAGGCATATCAGCAGGTCTTGTTGGATGATATAGAAATATACAACAATTAATACACACAAGGGACTCTGTGTATAATTGTCTAGCATTTGGCACTAGTTCAGCCCATTTCATTTTCAAACGGATTAAGGAAAATTTGATGAAAGACCAGAAAGTTGTTGTGTATTTGGATAATTTGTTGATCATGGGTAAAGTTGAGCAAGAACATCTGGTAACTCTCTGCCAAGTTTTACAGCGTCTACAAGACGGTGCGGTGGGGCATCTTCTTCCTCAGAGACTTATGATGATCAACTGAGGTCATGCAGCTCATCAGAGACTCAAATGTCACAGCCTGAAAAAGAGATGACTGTAACCAGCAGCCAAGATTCGGGGCTAGCTGGAACACCAACAGCTGTGTGAGTCTGAACTACCAATCGAACTGCCTGAATCAAGCCCAGTGCGGGTCTGCGGCGTTCTAAACGGACTATTAAATGACCACAACATTTCAGAGACTGAATAAAAATGAATTAATGTATGGTGATATGTGGTGCTAACTTTAATGGGGGAGGTGATGTGGTTTTATTGGGATGATGTGTATTTGTAATTACTTGATTTATGTCTAGTATTCTTTGGTTCCCGACCTTATAGAAGCCAGTATTTAAGTCATGTGTGACGTATGTATTGTATTTACCGGAGTAAAGCGTGCTAGATGGCATTTGCTGGTGGTTTGCCTCGTTAATACACAACAAAAATAAAGCCCATTTTAAGACTTTTCTTATTTTCTTTTCGATCTTTTTTTTGGGGTGCAATGCGACCACTGGTTGTGAGGTGGTATAAACAAACCATAATAACATGATAACATTCATTATTTGTTTTACCTTTAAACGTGTTTGGGGGAAAAAATGATTTATAGGCTACTTCTTACGTGATGCAATGTAAAATAAATAAATAAATAAAATTGTTAAAGGTAAAAGATTGTAAAAATGTCTGTTAGTTGTTTAGGTGAATGAACACTCACACAATTCCCTGTGGCACTTCACCTTCGATGGTTCATTGAATTAAATGTTTCTTTTTAGTTTTTTTTTCTTATCAGTTCTGTTCATTAGGGTTTTATGTTAAATAATTTGTTGTTCTATGAATGTTTATTACATGGTCATGTGCATTGCCATGATGGTGTTTAGTATTTGTGTTAATGACACTGTGCACCTTCGATACATTTATGTTTACTTTAGCTTGTGATGCATGAGCTTTGATTCATCATGAGGTTTTCTCATTACTACCCGTGTTTTCTGGTGGTTGTCAGTATATTATATTAGTAGGCCCTACTTAAAGGCACAATATGTAAGATTTTTTTATTAAAATATGTGTTGCCTGCCAATGACGTCATAACCCCTCGATTTCCGGTTTTGTTTTGTAGAAAACATGGAAACACCAAAGACACTTTCATATGTTGTGTGTTTTATTAGACCGGTGACGACCGCTCAGAGTAGCATTATAACAGAACTTTCAAATGTATCTAGTATGATAAAACAGCACTGCTTTACCCCACATACGCACGACCGGAAGGAGCGGAAGCGCTCGACTGTGGCATAATAAAAGCTCTGCTGCTTTCGAGCCGTGTGTCAAGCTCGTTTCACTTCGACGGCTTTCCGCCTGCTTCATTCTACAACATTAATAAATCATTAGCTCATCCATGAACATGATTTCTGCCCGAGTCCCGTCAGATTGCATCGGCTGTGGGGATGAAGACCACAACTCCCATGATTCCACACTCAGTCACGGCGTCATCAAACTACGCCTTTGTCTATTTGTTTATTTTGAATATGCGCCCTCCAGCGGCGAAAATTACATATTGTGCCTTTAAGTACTGTAGTTTGATGAAATAGGCCTACAGCTTTTACTGTAAATTTAAGTTGAATCCGTAAAACCCAAAAGTTGCAACCCTTTTTTTTTTACACTGAAGTTCTGGCAACCACAGCTTCCATTTTTTTTAAAATGTAAATTATATTTTTGACAGGCATACCGCTTGATATTGTAGTCATTAAATCAAAACATTTGTAAATAATATAAAATAAATAGTGCACATAAATAAAATTATTACTTTCGTTTAGGCTACTTGACATTTGCGTGATAGTATTCTGCACCTTCACATAGAATTACATTTTGACTCAGCAGCTCTCCGACTGTATAGCGACGAAAGAAAGAAGCGCAGCACTCACACACACACACACACACACACACACACACACATTTTGACTCAGCAGCTCTCCGACTGTATAGCGACGAAAGAAAGAAGCGCAGCACTCACACACACACACACACACACACACACACACACACACACACACGCACGCACAGAGGGGACATCAGAGAGTCTTGTTTTCTCTGTGGAGGCTCTCAGCGTGTCCATAACCCGTGAAGACTTCATGAAGCTCGTCGCCACAGCATGTGTCCTGCTGGTGCTTTTGGTGCATGTGGTGTCCTCGATCCCTCCGGGCTGCCCGGAGCGCTGTGTGTGTGATGACCAGCACGTTGTCCAGTGCGCTGAACAAGATCTCCGCAGATTCCCAACGGGACTCCCGCTGACCACCCGCCAGCTCATCCTGTCCAACAACCGCATCTCTGAGTTACCCGCGTTCGAGCTCAATTACCTGTCCGACCTCACGTATCTGGACTGCAGCAATAATTCCCTCGCGCACATATCTCCATCCACATTTGGGAACCTGAGAAAGCTGGCGTATCTGGACCTATCCTTCAACTCCTTCTGTAAGATCGAGGAGCAGACCTTCAGCGCGCTGGAGAGCCTGGTGATGCTGAGACTGACGGATAACCGCAGGCTGTCAGAGTTTCACCCTCGGGCTTTCTCGCATGCCAGTGCTCTTCAGGTGCTGGACATCAGCAGGAACAACCTGAGCAGACTCAACGTGAGCTCCCTCGTGGCTCTAGCCGGGCTCCGGGCTCTCGGGCTCAGCGGGAACCCGTGGCTGTGCGCCTGCGACGCGGAGGAGCTCTGCTTATGGATGCACACGGACACCTTTAAGTTTCAAGGTAGGCTGTATTTGGGGTCTAGGGGTTGTTGTTTTTATATTGGGTAAACATTTTAAAATAACTTTATTTAATAACCTTACTCTTGATTCGGCTGTTATATTGTTACTAACATTATATAAAGCGTAACAAGAGAGGCTGGGCAATGCTGAAACACTTTTGTTTTAACATCTGTTACTCAGTGGTTTTGTGCATTGTGTGTGTGTGTGTGTGTGTTATAACTCTCATAATCAGAATCAGCTTGAACCAGACATGAAACTATATTTTCCTGCATTATATTTTACGCAGATAGCCTATTTATACTGTCACCCCAAGAAAACTGGTCATTAGTTCATACCTAAAACTATCGATGTTAAAAATCACCCCCTGTTAAAATACCCCAGTCTTCCACATTCAAACAACCCAACCAAAAAAGAAAAAAAGAAAGAAGTGCTTGTTCAATAATTGCTTGGATGCTGCTGGTATTAAAAAGTCTTAATTCGCTCTTCCAAATATTACATTCTAAAAAGTCTTCAATCAGAGCAGAAAGCTTTAAATTCATAAAGTCGTGGCATGAAATTGTTGCATTCACTGCAAAAAACAAAAATCTTCCTCAGTATTATTGTCTTGTTCTCCAGTACCAATAACTAAACATCCTTAAATCAAGATATATTTACTT